CCCCCTCCTGGCCCTGGTGTTTTCATTCCAGCCCTCCAGCCTCATTGCCTCTCTCATTTTCTTCCCTGCTCTTGCATCCACCCTCAAATGAGACATAAGTCAAGTTGAGGAAAGCAAGACAAGCTGTTGAAGGGTTGGCTTTGATTAAACCTCCGTGGAGATCAGAGCTGCAGTTGTCACACTTCAGCTCAGAGCAACGTGAGGAATTCATCACCAAATACATCGTCAGGTACCAAAAGACACCTGAAGATGCTGTGTTTCAGCGAGCCCGGATGCAGATCTTCTCTTCTTCATTACGATGGGCTTGTGTGTAATCACCCAGGAGATGATGAATATTGTGGGATCCCGGTGGGCGAGCTCAATTAAAGCAGAGAAGTGTTTCGCTGCTGTCAGTTTGGATCTTGTGGGAAGTCTGGTGGGCTGGAGAAAATGAGCAGCTTTATTAGCACACGGGGCTTTCATTTGGAGTGTAACAGCAAAGACAAAGGGCTTGTCAGGTCTGAGGCCGCGGCTGCCCGTGTCCAAAGCAAAATCAGCCTTGAAAACCCATTGTGGGCATTTTCCACACCCATTCCCTTGACACAAGCCCTTCCACTCATCTCCAAGGTCCTCACCTCGTTCTGCAACTGCTTTCTGCTGCCCCAGGGGACCCAGCAGCATTTGGCATTGCTTCCATGGGGCATTCTGCAAGGTAAAGAGGCTGGAAGGCTGGAAAACTGATTAATTAACACCAGAACTGTTGATAGCAATTACCAGGCATTGAATGCCTTATCCATTGCCTCTTGGGCATCTCACGGAGCACGCTGGGTGAGCCCCATGCCTGTGGCTGCTGTGGGCATACACAGTGCAGAGTGGTGTGGTCTGGATACCAGGGCGAGGGGTACCAGCTCTGGGATTAGGGCCAGATATTCCCTATAATGGCTCCAGATGGGAAATGGCAGCTCCTGGCAGAAAGCTTGGAGACGCTGAGTTGCCCCAGGGAGCAACTTGTCAAAGGGGGCAGAGGAAGTCAGTGTCAGAGCGGAGCATCCCCTGTCCAGGTCTTGGCATCACCATCCATTTACATGGCACTTTGCATGCCCCATAAGCAGGCTGGGGATGTGTTGTGAGTGATGCTGAAGGGGTTTGGCAGCACCTCCTCGAATCAAACTCACTTGGCAGCACGAATGGTAATGGGAAAGATTTGTCTTCCTTAAACGTCCCGGCTTCAGCAAGATGTGGGAGCGTGGCTGGGAGCTGGAGTCCGCAGCGAGGATCTTCTCAAGGACTTTCTGTTAAGATAGAAATAGCATAAATGCTGGAGACTTTTCAGACAGCTGCTGTAAATCTTCCTCATCCCATTGCCAGCATTAACTATTGCATTATTTCTATTAAAAAATTAGATTTCCTGTCAAGAAGACAGTGAGCTGAGAGGGAACAAACCCGTCCCTCCCCACATCCCTCTTGCCAGGCAGGGAAGATGTAGAAGATGGCAAGAAAAATAGATCTGGGGTTGCTCTTAGCTCAAGCAGGTCCCCTCTTCTGCAGGTTTCCCAGGGTTTTGGTGCTAGGAGAGGGAAAGGCACATTTCTGGTTGGGGCCAGGGCTCCTGTAACTGGTTTAAAATCAAACCACAGACTGCAAAGGCTTTACCTGGAGATCCAAAGGTTCTTCAAGCTGCCTGCCTGGGGCAGCATCAGCTCCCTGGGCAGTGCTGCCCACCCCAATCCCTCTTCTCCATAACGTCACTTTTTCACCTGATTACAACCATTACAGCACACACATGCTACTGCATCCTCTAAAGTACCCCATAGGGACCGGCTGGGCATCACCCGCCTTCTCAAGCCCCAAATGCACATCTTTTATTCACATCTGGGGCAGGTACTTCACTAAGGCAGAGCAAAAGGAGGAAAAGCCTATGAGCAGCACCCAGAGTGCTGAGTCCAAGCCAGTTACTGGGCTCCTAAGCCATGGAACATAAATGAAATGATCCTCCAGCTATTTCAGCAGAACAGAAATAAAAACAGAGATTTCTCCCAGCTCAGAGCAGCCTCTGTGTTAGTTAAAAGCACTTTTCCCACTGATTCTCAGGTGTGGAATTGGGCAGACTCACCTTGGTGGGATGGTAGAAGCTGGGCATCGTCTTTAAGACAGGCTTTAGTGTGTAGGGGATTGATTTGTGGCTGGCTTAGAGGCTCCTGGCATTATTTCTGGCTCCGTTACTATTCCCTGTGCCCGTGCTCCAGTCAAACCCTTCATCCCCCATCCCAGTCTTGGAAATAGGAAGATTTACTGGGCTTTACTTCCTGATTTCCTGCCTGTCCAGGTATGCAGCCGCTTAGTGCAAGTGAGGACTTTCATCTTGGTGCCAGTGACAAATCCTGGATCGTTATACCCAGAGCTTTCCAAAAGCCCCTTGTCAAAAGCAAACTCTGGCTCCGTGGGGGTGCGTGATCTCGTTAAATCTCCCTTTAAAATTAGCTGTCAGTCTAAAAGAGGAACGAAATCAGCTTTTCCCCTCCTCCTGCAGTGACTGAGCCCTCCAATTCCTGCAGACTGACACTTTGAAGATGCATTTAGCAGTTTGGGAACTGCATCATTAATGCAGTGACAATGTTATGCAGGTTTGCACTCGTAGCGTCGTAAGAGGGACTGTACA